TAGTTATTCATCGATAGTGAAGAAGGCTAGAAAATTCGCCGATTTCGAGAGAAAGGTTTCTCAAAGGTAGGAATGATAGAGGTGGACGAATTACCATGACAGAATTGACATGGAACAGGTATTCGGACAAGATTATAGTTGTTGCAATTGCGCAAAGAGCTGAGTACATCAATCAAGAACTGTACAGAACTACATTCCACTTTCACTATGAGCCATGACAAGTTGTTTGATCTCCCTACATTGGCTTCCTTGCAATTTTTGCAGCCTTCATAATGCCGGTGAAAACGGTGAAACTCGTGAAGAGCCATTCCAACCAAGTTCGAATGTAATGACACGTCAACTTCGAAGATGAACAAGTATGCGTCCAGTAGAACTGAATTTTGTATGATGGCCTACTATATGTGTAGAACTACTCGCGTTGCAACTGCGAAATTGTAAAGATTTTTTTGTGTTGGCGATTTTCATTGTTGGGGTTCGCATTCTACTTTCATTAAGAATCGTGATAGTGACGTTTGCATGCGTATATGACCTTGCGGTGACCAGCCTATGAGAATGCAGGTTCTTTTACCTTTTCAAACATGTTTGGTACCAATATCGAACCCGGAAGGGAAAAAAGGTTAATATGCTTAAAAGACTGTCGAAATCGACTTGGGACTCAATCCGTTGAATACTCGGGTGTGATAGTGAATACACCACATCTGCTCACTTTAAGGATATGCAGAAATTAATTTAAGGGAATAAGTAACTGCTTTTGGAGAATGGAGTTCTGGTACTGATAAAGCCCTCCAGATTACGTCACACCGTCATTCCCTCTCATGAACAGTGAATAGTTGAACTATGGTTTCTCTTACACAAACTTTGAGAAGCCCGAAAGCATAATGAGCTTGCTCGAAATTATTATCCCCCTTTTACTTGGAGGACTTAGTTCGTTAGAGCGGTTACCTCTAATGTACGATGAAATCTGACTATGTTTCCGATTTAATATTACGCAAGCGTTTCAAAATTCTTAACTTCGTTGAACATACATTCATCTTATGAGTACTCACATAAAATGACCATGTCACATCGTCTGACGAACGACGTTGTCTTGTACGTGACTGACTTTGAGAGCTTAAATACGAAATTTCGGATTATGTCTATGTTTATGAAGATAGCCCATGTATTCGTGTACTCAAAATTCGATTGTAGGTAGCAGTTGGTCCTTGAAAATGCAGAATTACAAATTTCAATGATAATGCCAATGTCCCTACTACTTGATCAGTAATAGGATGTAAGACAAATATGCCAACAAAAATGAAACTCTACAACTATATGGGATGGACTGCGTTTCCTTCGTAGCGCAATGACTTTTAACAGTTGCTCATCTTACGAATAGTGCTTACCTCATAACTTACCTATAACCATGTGGGTACAAATACTTCTAATTTTAAACATACCCTTCCAAAAACATCTGCACAGTTCCCTATTCCGCTACATCTCCAACTAAGTTCATGAATAAAAATACCGCTGGTATCACTTTATTACCACTTCTTTGTTTTCGTTTCCAACCAGCATCGTTCGTTTTTTATGAACATTGCGAGCCAAAGCAATCCACTGGATCATCTTTACTCGAGAGTAGAACAGTGACATTTCCTCCGTTTAGAGGTTTCGTGAAGAAGTCTGACCGCATCGCTGGCAACCGCCTTTCATTTGCCATCCCTGACTCCATTCAGTAAAAAAGTGGTCCAATGGCTGCTTTCATAGTCCGCTGTCCGGCCCGCGAGCGGGTGCGCCGGCGGGAGGCGGCACTTGCCCCTTGTTTACAACTGAATCCTAATCGATACACAGACCGAGTAGTCCCCTGCCGGCGGATTATGAAAGCAGCCAGTGTGTCTCGGTAAAGAAGCACGCGATTGAGTGCGGTGATGGCGAAAACCGCATGGCTGTTCTTCATCTTAAATTCTGCCACGCCTGTTGAGAGGACTCGTGTGAAAGATTTATAGATCACAGACAATAGACAGATTATACTATTGCCACCTTGTACAGTAATACATTCTTGCTAGTTTTTCACGAACTGAGCATTTGGCATACTAAAGGGGCCTACCGAAGAGCTAATCAAGGTTTCGACGATAACTAATAGAAAGCTCTTCAGATGTTTCGGTTCAAATCACTTGGAACCGCGCGCCGCCCAACTATACACTGTTTCATCAGAGCAAGGAAAGGGGAAGTCATCTTGATCCAGTATATGCTGAAGCTCCGGCCCGCATAGCGAATGCTCTTTCCTGATCTTGACGTCGGTCTTAAGTGCTCTCCTCTCTTTCAATCTTCCTCTATCACTTTTCTGCATGGCTTCGCAGATTTGGACGTTAGATTTTGATTGCCTATAATTTGCGCGATCCACCTTTACGTATCAGCCTGATAAACTCCGAAGAGAAACGCCTCTTGGCGACATGTAGACTCTCTGCGTTCCTAGCTTTTTTGTAGAGGTTCGAAAAGTCGGTTGCATTCTTCATCCATGTCGTCCGTAACGGATATCTAACCGTAACATAAAATAACTTCTCACAGACTCGCAAGGGAAGTGGCCTCGCCTAATGAAGGCCTTGATGTTCCGTTTGCTGAACTTCGTAGCTTTTTGTTCACGCACAGAACAACAGCATCTGGCGGCTAGGAGTCGTAGTTCGATGCTGTGTGAGAAATTGGAAAAATAGCGACGTCAGGAATCGAGGGAATCGACGGAATCTCTATAACCTCTCTATACGAAAACCCTCATACGAATCAAAAGATTCCAAGGTCGGAAGCAAAAATTTCAATATATTTTCTTGCTCATGAACAGCTTCACGTCCGTTTGTTGTCGTCTCCTCCGTTACTACTCAGTCAACTCTTGTCTGAAAGTCTAGAGATCTAGAGCTGAATACATGAAAGGCAGTACGACAGGAACGAAATTAAGAAATAATAATCGTTTCTTCAAATGGTGAAATTTGTAAAAGTTTTAACACTCAGAACTACCAGACTTCTCTAGTTTCAGTATGTTGAAGTATCTGAAAAAAAACTGGAAGACAAGAACACTGCAGTACAGCGCAGCATGTTTTAGAAAGCTGCTAGAGATATGCCAGCACTTTAGAGAGTAAGAGAAGGGGACTCGATTAATGAAGCGATGTGGAACTTTACCGTTGTTCCAATTGCGAATTGGTAGAGGATTGTCGGCGCACCATAGGTGATGGTGACTGCCTTCTGTATTGATCCTCTTTCGAACCCTTTCCAGGAGTTTTGGGCGTCGAGCAATTGAGTGACTGAATTTAATTATTACTTACTACCATGTCAATAAGTTCATGTATAGAATGGGCCCTACACGATTAGCTTCTAAACTATCAAAATTTTGCAGTGTTCACATCGCGTTGTTGAAAACGTGATGCCAGTTTCAGACCTTGATGTTTGCTGTGCTCCTTTCCAGAGACAATTGCTGGGCTCATGTTTACCATAAGCCATAATATCGTTCAGGCGGGATGCACCGAGCGTTATGGTCGTGAGTAATAGTCCCAGAGGGACGATTGCACAACGCCACCTTCAGTAGCTTTCATAGTAATTCCTTCATATTTTCATGAACAGGGCTGGATACGGGCCTCTAAGTTTCAGTAGGCCATGTTTTACATAAAAGCTAGCAAAGTATTGGATATCAGAAACACGTATAGCAATCTCAGGGCGAGCGCGACTGTCACTTGGTGAGAGGCCGAAATAAATTGTACTTATCGTGCGACCCATTATAAAAGGATCAAGTAAAGAGAACTATTGAACTTGTTATTTATAGGATTAGGAAAAGTGTAAAAATAGCACCAAGAAAGTTTCAATCATAGAGATCTCTCACACTTCGCATGGAATCGCAGAGGTTTTCGGCTGAATTGCATGGAGACGATCTGGCATCCGCCTAGATGTTTGATGAGTTCAGCATTTTTTAAGGTTATCAGAAATAAGTCAAACTTAACCAGTTAAACTTACGATGTGCTCGCTCTCGTGGCCCTTTTTTGCAACTCCCTTTTTCACATCTTTACCGTTTTGGACCTTTTTCTGCAACATGCCATGGTCAAGGTATTACGTACTTCTGTCCATCTTATACTTTATGGTAAGTTGTCAAAATTTTGAGAAATGTGACACTCAAATACTGAGACACTAACCTTTTTGCCGAACTGGTAGTAGCGGCAACGGAAGACGGTGAACGAGAGTTGAAGCTGAGAGGAAAGGAAATGAGGAAAAGTTTTACTGGAACATATTTGTTCCTCTGTATTCATCAAGTATACACCGAGGGACGTACTATGGCATAACTACTGCACTTATCAAATTTTTCGCCCAACCCAGGTCTAGAAGAAATTCACACTCTTAAGAATAAACCTTCTGGTAACAAACAAAATCTGCATTCAGTGAAGCTGCCTAATATTTTCTGAACTAGATCATGCTATGGGTCAGTGGGGGCTCGGTTCGGAGCAGCTGAAGGAGAGCCACATTTAGGACAGTAGCCGGGGATATGGTGACTGAGCTAGTATTCGTAATTCTTATTGCGCTATGTTATGTGTATACTTATATCCTTACCTATCTATGTTGTTTTTAAATCCTTTTGTACATGTACTTTTTGTGTATGGCTGCTTTCATAGTCGGCCGTCCGGCCCGCGAGAGCGAGCGAGCGAGAGCGCCGGCCGGGGGCGGCGCTTGCCCCTTGTTTACAAGTGAATCTTGGCCGATCGGCCAAATAGCCCCTTGGCCAGAGCACTATAAATGCAGCCAGTGCTTAGCGATCGTATACATCCTGTATACAGCCTCCTGTACTACGCCATGTTGTCTTTGTTTGCATTGTATAGCTTAAAATGAATTTGTCTTTCCTGTGGGTATGTTTTCTTGGTAATAAATGATAAGACAAGTAGGGCCCCTAGTGGCGACGAGGTAGGTCGGTCGCAGAGCTCTCGGGGCGAATCTACGCGAATCTCTTAGTGGGAGCCAGTCATCATCCATCTTTTACCTTTTACCTTTACCATTCATACCTTTTTTGTTACGGTTAGCACACAGGAATTGTTTTTGTAGTTCATATAATTGGGAGCACTGAATAGTGTAACAAGACGGCCATCGAATGATATTCGATAACCATTTTTATACATCTGAAAACTTTGAATAAAGAAACGTGGGCGGCAGATTTGATCCTTTTTTACATGATCAGTAAAGAAACAAAAGGGCTAGTGGCGACAACTTCATACTGGCATCCTCTATTTGACAATTTTTGTCTGAAGACGACATCGTACACTAGAAACTATAGGGACTATGAATCCTAAGCATCATAGAGGTAGGAATGTGGAAAATGACGTCTTGCTTGAACAGCATCCTCCGGCAAGCTTAACAAGCTGTTAAGCTTGCCGGAGGATGCTGTTCAAGCAAGACGTCATTTCTCACATTCCTACCTCTATGTTCGAACAGCACCCCCGGCAAGTCATTACAAAANAAAACTTAGCATCACTAAAAATTCTTATTTCGCTATTTTAGAAATTTCAGAGAAATCAGTTCGGCAACCCGTACGATCGCAAGGGCCCTCAATACGGCGCTTCCAGAGGAATGCTGAAGAGACGGGGTACATACACATAATGACGCATTCCCACGAATGAAAGCGCTTCAGCTCAGAACGCTCTGTTACCTTGTCCGCCTCCCGTTTTCCCTTTGATAGCATAAGGTCCGATCAACATTAAGATGACCGCCGTGTACATATCAGCTATATGTGTCCCAGCTATTGCAAGGCTTGACAGATCCACCCATTTCAAAGGGTAATCTGCACTCTTGAGTATCGTATTTTAAAAGCATATCTTGAAATTCTGATGAGTAGATGTTCAAGTAGACAGCCAACAACCTCGTTGCTGATCTGGTGCCCACGCAGTATAATATCCAAATGGTGCTTAGCGCAGAAATCTTCGACTGCCTTGGGGCCGAATAGAAACGAAATGCCTGCAGGTAAAATATTAATTAGGCAGGAATCATTACCATAAAGGAGCAACGTTCTTACCTCGATGGCTTAATACCCAACCGTCACGTTGGAGAGCTGGGTCCGACCACACCAGGTCGCACCCTATACCGTATGCTGGAACAACCGATGGGCGTCTAATCTAAAGAGAAGTCATGATCGTACTGCAGTATACTGTTTTACTGACGATGGTGGGTTTGCGTTTATTCGCTCGACTTTCAGTTTGTATTAGTGAGGGAATGATCACCACTACGCGGTAGTGCATATGTAGACTTCAGGCCACCTGTTTCGTCGGTTGGGTTTCCTTGACCTCTACCGTGAATGCTATCGGAATGAAAGCCCAGGGCTTGTGTCCAAAGGTCATCAGTAACTGTTCTTTTTTGTTTCATCTTACTGCCAACTTTGACTAACAGTATAGCAGTTAAATGAATGCAGGAGTTCAGACCTAACCACTGCATTATTGTCACCTATCTAATTAACTGAAGCAAGGTAATAACTGCATAGCCACTTACCTTATTAATATCGTCTAACTTGTCGATAAACGGAGATATTCCACCGTGAGCGCAGAATATGGTATCAGCGATAATGGCTGCGACAGGCATGCAGTTGAAAGCCTCGAGAAAGTGTCGCCAAACCCAAAGCTACTTTTTATGTAATGTTACTGCAAAATGAGTTGTCCACATCTTACCTTGACGCCTGGAGCATTTTGCTCGGTGGAAGGCCACCTAGTTACACACTCATCAAAAAAACCATAGTTGAGGGTAGTGTTTGCATCCTCATGGTTTCCACGAAGCAAGTAAACCTTCAAGCAATTGAGAAAAACTTGTTGCTTACCAGCTAAGGATGCCACAGAGACAGGCTACCCTGAAGTAGCCCTCCCAATGATTATTCGAATCGCGTTTTCATACCTTCAACTGGTGTGCAATGAAGAGCCGATGGCAGTCAATAGAAAAAAGGCTTTCTGACAGTTGTTCCAATGAGGTGAAGTGATGTGGTTCCAAACGACGGACCACAGAATCGCTATGCATCAAAACCATGTACATGTACCCGCCCCAGTCAAACCAGGCCTTCTATCCTTCCCGGTTCGCTAATTGATGCTAGTATTTTGTAGAGTATCTTGAACCATCTTTTTCCAGTGTTCAAACAGCTGAAACCTACCTGGTACGGATAGCGGATTTTGAGACAGAACAAAAATGTTATCACTTCAATACCCTTAATGTCACAAGTACAGGAACAAGAGAAAACCGACAATACTGAAACGATCGGGTACGATTTGTACTACCTGAACGCCTCTATCAACGTAGTCACCAAGGAAGAGAAAAGTTTCCTTTTGAGGAATACCACAATATCGAAACACACGTAAAACTTGTGGTAGATTGCCGTGGAGGTCTGCCACAACATGGACTGGAAGCTCTGCTCTAAATTTTGTTTTAAATCGCTGTGCAAAACAAGATAACGAAATCTCAGGTGAGATTCTTCAGTGGTATTGTTATTGGTATAAGTGGCAGTTGATGATATGTATTGTGTAAATTTCGGGTACAGTTGTTGAACGGTGTATACCACAGACAAATAGGTATTCTTAAGAATGTTTTTTCAATTTTCTCGAAGCGGTTTCTTTTTATATACTCACGATCTTTCCAGGAAATTAACACGTTACTGTAATAGGTTGTATGAGCTTAGCTCCGCTGGGTGAGCGGTAAATTAGAAAGGAGCTTATTCACCACCCAAATTGTAGTTCACCTATAAGCTTGTGGAATCAACGAAAAGGATCGAGACGAGCGAAGAAGACCGATCAAGGAGGAGAGGCCGAGGTGGAACATTCAGGAAAGATTAGCTGGCCTGCCAGCTTCAGGTACACGACGCTTCCGACGTTCTATCCGACGTTAGTGACGAAGATTATTGCCTCAGTCTTCTGCGCCGCAACATGACACTACCTACACTTTAACTAGGCGAAAGGAGAGAACAGCAGGTGAAGGGGGCAAATAAAAGACTGAAGGATAAACCTCTCGGCGTTCCATTCCCGTTTCTGGGGTGCGCCCTCGCATCAACATCTGGTTATAGAATCGTTGCGCTCCACTGAATGCGTCTTTAGCCGGTACAATGAGTTGCTGAATTGTCTTGGTGAGCTAATGTTCAACTCGGCGCTTTTATCCCATAGACGAGTCCGGTACCAGTTCGTACCAGAAAAGAGAGCCAATACTATACAAGTTTGAGTAGCGATAACCCAACATGCGGGTGGCGCACATAGTTCCCGAATTCCAAAGATTACTCACGCGGCAGTGAATTCGACCATCATCCTGGTTAAAGACAGGTTCCTCGTAAGCCTCGTAAGTCTGTGAAGCACAAAAGAACAAAGAAATGTCTCCAATCAAAAACATGAACAGCTAAATGACGCAGACGTTCAGCATAGGCCAGTTATGTGTGTTGACCCCCTATGTTCAGTGCGTCTTTGTCTCGACGTCGCTACACGGAAGAGTATAATAAATGGTGACTGGAGTGAACGATTAGTGGGTATGAGTATGGTCGTCATGGTGTGGTCCAGTAGCAATTATCAATTTTTCTGGACGACGAGCATGGGAAATAGCCCTACTTTGCTGACTGAACACATAACTGGTTTCCCGTAGTTAACACAAGAGCCTGAGGGTGTAGTAGATAATATATATTATGTCCGGAAAGTTTTGAGAGAATTCAGTCGGCTCTTCAACACAAAATAAAGTGAGATCAGTGATCAAGATAGTGGCTCTTCTGAGCCGCATATTCTCCATCAAGCGGACAGGGCACTGATGCGATTCCTTCGAACAGAATAAGGCGCGACGCAATCCATTCATCTACTACTTGGCGATTGCTTTATGACGATTGTTATATTTATCCCTTCATGAATGTATGGCAGTCATATGGGTGAGGTCAGGTGGATATGTTGGGGTAGTCAGGTTATACCAAGCCCTTCTATAGTAGCTCACGTCCTCTTGCCGGATGGTCGAGCATTATCCACCGCAATCGAAAATTCCTTTATAATTGGTGGGAATTACGGGCCCGAAACACCACTTCTCGTTGACAGAATACTCTTGTGTCTACAGCAGTACTCCCTGGTAGGGTCTCATAGTACACCTGGTTGAGAAGAGGAAGAATGAACTCATGTCCTTCTAGCGTGAGCGTGTCGCTTTGATGCGAGCTGTGGCCTTACGCCCACTAGTGGGCATTGCTATTTCCTGTGTGGATTTTTGTATGACATCTACTTTTTATCCTGAGCAATAATAAGGTCGGTTGATGTTGTCAATCGCTTACAGTCGAGGAGCTTCTGACATACACTGACTTGCACTCCGTGCTCTTGCTCAGTCAAAGAGCCCTACTTTGATGTGACTTTTGCGTAGAATGACGTGAATGAAGAAGTAGAGAGTGGTGATCGTGTTTTCCATTTCCTGACCCCTTGAGGAGGACTGCTTTGATGGGAGTCCAGAACAGTGTCAGTATTTAAAGACAGCAAACGTTTGCTTCGACGAAATTTTTCGTATCAAAAATCCTCTCAACGAATCGATCGTGCCATCTGTGGTAGGTAACAAGAAAGGATGCACTTCTGAACATCAGTCACCATATCTCATTCCATGCGTGAGTTTCGGAGCAACCAGTTTCGTACTGGTGAAACAGAAGAATGCGGTAGGCTTGTCAATCGCACATCGTTCAGTTGATGATTACTAAGTTAGAATTACGGCGTCAAATACCAGTCGGCCTAGTGTTGACCTTTCCCTGCCATTGAATCTATAGTCCTTCTTTGGCGCGTTCATGGGCAAAATGCTCTCACACTTTCGAAGCACTTTCTTGCTAACCCTAATATGTACTTCCTTGGACGGTTTTCAGCATTCTGATGGCAAGACCCTTGTATACAAGATGCAGAAAAAAACAAACTTCTCAATTGTTAAAAGAGCCGATTGAGCAAGAAAGGAAGCTGAAGCTTTGGCACATAATTGGACAACTTCATCAAAACTTATATCGAACTTCAGGAAAGCTGGAGCAACCGTATTTCTGAAAAGGAAGTATTCCATTGTACACCCGAATATTACGTGCCATCTTTACTCCGTACCTATTATTATCGTTCCTGATCCAGTGAGGATCATCAATGAGGGGTGAGTTTAGAATTCGAATCAGTAGATCAGCAACTAGATCGTCGTGAAAAATGTCATTGGAATCGATCTTAAAAGTAGGGTTTCATGGAACTAGTCTTAGAGGAAAATCGAACTCTTGAGTATTTAGGTACAAAGCCGTGGGTAATCCGTTGGCATTTGAATTTCTATTTTCATTGTAGCTATATGAATCACTTCAGCGACAGGGTCATCGAAAACGCCCTGTTTAATAATGCTGTCTCAAGACTATCTATCGAAAATTCACCGATCTCGAGCTCTCATCATCATCGTCATCTTCATAATCATCTTCATGGTCTGTAATCCCTGCTGGAGTTGAATTGATCTGAAACATCCAAGCAAGTACGCAGAGCATGTACGTATGCCCGTATGGATTAGCATAGTTTGTGTGTGTATGTTTGTGAGTATGTGTTCATGTGTGTTTGTGTATGTGTGCATGTGTGGGTGGGTCTGTGCGCGGATAGGTGTGTGTGCATAAGTGTGCAAGCTGTTGTGTATAGGTATGTATATATATATATGTATGCTATGTGTATATGTATATATGTATGCTTGTATATGTGTGAAGTTGTATATGTGTGCATGTGTACGTGTGTGAATGTGTGTATGCGTGAGGGCATGTGCTTATGTGCGTGTCTTTTTGTTCATTTCTATACAGGTGTATAGTTGGTATGGTTCGTGCGTATGTACATATATGTGTTAGCGTGTTTGTATTGATACTTGGGTATGTGTCTATCCGTGTACCGTGCTGGGTACGGCCTCCTCCCTCGACTACTACACATCAGTGGCCATTCCAGAGGTCCAGTGAGGCACTTACGCTGCGCTCCTGTCCGCGCACACTGCCACGCGATCACCAAGCTTCGGCGGAACCGTACTTCTATAAAGGCACGAGAGGCTATTGTTCTAAAGGCACGGTTCACGATAACGTTGAAGTATTTATTTTTAGGTAAAAAGTGGAAGTGTTGATGGAGAGGAGCACATCGGTAGCGAAGAAAGTGAGAAAATCCTCTACTTCTAGGCTTTTTAAAAGTAGTGGAAGTAGAGGTTGTGCGAGATCACTGTGATGGTAATGCGAGGGATGTTCGGACAGATTCAGCTTGCTCTCATCTCGCAAAAAGATGACTACATCAAGCCGAATTTGTCCGAAACTGTCTTTCGCTGTCGCCATGGGTCATGAAAAGTTGCTTGAACTTGAACGTAGGAGTCTCTTGAGACTCCCACGTTTAAGTTCAAGCAGTGCAGCCTTTGTACTTTGTAACGGCAGGTAGGAATAAAGGGGAGCCTCGAATTCATACTACAGGGAAATCTTAGAAAGCGTTTCATCGTGAACTGTGCCTTTAAGTGTTGCTCCTCCGCAGCACACTAATTGGTCCGTGTTGACGTTGACTACGATGTCATCCGCGTAAAATAACCGAGTAGAAGTAACGAAGCAAACAAAGTGCGAGCTAAACTGCGTTGTAGGGGACGCGTCTTGCCGAGGAATTCTTGACGGCAGGCTGAAAAACGGCCTGTTTCCCCGACGCCAAGCCAAAATGTTCAGACTATAAGGTGTTCGCGGCCCTCTCGGCGCATCCGGCTCGACCACACAACGATAGTAGGATGCTACTGTATGGTGTACAGGTGTGACAATGACAATATTTCAATTGACGGGCAAATCGCAGATGGAATACTATGAGGCAAATACATTACACCGAGTATATGTATAAGTAAAACAAACTACACCGTGACTGACAGGGAGTTAAGACGTGAGGCGAGGAGGAGACGAGATTAGATAAGATGCGATGGTCGACGGTTACGGGCAAAGCCCACTGGACGAGGAGAGGAGGGCGTGCGACTATCCGAAAGTCGGCTATTACGTAGAAACATGACAAGTTCATGATCATTTTCCCGCGCTCTTGACAAATTCCGCCTTTCTTGAGTTACAACAGACACCTCTGAATCATGGTTGGCGAAACATAACCATGGGTAATCTCAAGCTACCTGCCGAATAAGCTACATTCCTTGGGTAGTGTGTGCGTAGAGGGGGGGAGGGGGGGAGGGAGAAAGGGAGGGGAGTGGTGTACCGTCCGTTGCTCTGCACAAAGCACTCAAGTTAGGATGAACTCCGAATAAGGAGCAAGGTTCTAATGATAGGTGACGGAAAGTGATTAACAACTGACAATTCCTCAGGAAGGGCGTAGGGTACAAGAACGACACTCTTTGTATTAAATATTTAAATGTACACTCTTGACCTTATTAAATAATATGAAACCAGTTGGATGATTACATCTTCGGAATTAAAAGG